GCCTGGCAGACAGACATGGAATAAGACATAATGAAAGAAAGGTAAAAGCCCTGAGGAAAAATGGAGATGAATAGAAACAGGTTAAATTAAATTATAAGAACTAGTGGGACAAGCCTAAGATAAGGCCGAACATTCATAACTAATGAGTCTCTGTGTCATGATTTGGCATCTGGTTGGTAGCTCAAAAGAAAGCCTGCAGCTGGATGGTGGTGGTGTGGTGCACACCTTTAATCCCAGCACTCAGGAGGCAGAGGTAAACAGATCTCTCTGAGTTTGAGGCCAGCCTGGTCTACAAGAGCTAGTTCCAGGACAGGCTCCAAAGCTACGGTGAAACCCTGTCTCGAAAAACAGAACAAAACAAAACAAAACAAAAATAAAAACGAAAGCCTGCTGCACTGGCCAGCGAAAAAAACTGTCTCAAAAACAATGTGGACAAACCTAAGACCACCATTTGAATTATCTCTGGCCACTACACATAATCAGGCATAAACACATACAAAACACACAATAATAAAATAAGTACTTGGTATATTAAGTAAGAAATTATTTTATGATTTCTGTAACTTAAATTTGGTTTGGATCTGTCTCCTTTGAAAAAAACAAGTATTAAACCCCCTAAAAGAAATGTACTATTTAAGTGCTGTTAATGTACTATTCTGATAATAACCCAAGGCTCGGGAAGCATTACAGGAGAAGGGGCAGAAATATTCTAGGAGTCAGTGGTCAGGGGGGCGTCAAATAAAACATGTTCAGCTGGGCATGACAAGACTACCAGAGGGGCTGGAGAGATGGCTCAGCGGTTAAGAGCATTGCCTGCTCTTCCAGAGGTCCTGAGTTCAATTCCCAGCAACCACATGGTGGCTCACAACCATCTGTAGTGAGGTTTGGTGCCCTCTTCTGGCCTGCAGACATACATGGAAGGAATGCTGTATACATAATAAATAATTAAATAAATATATATATTTAAAAAAAAGACTACCAGCGTCTTGAGCACATGGCTGCCGTGACTGCCCGCACAAGATCAAGTCAGTGAATAGTCTAGCGTAAAAGGGAGGGGCTCATGATCCCCACCCCTAACTGAAGAGCTCCTGACAGCTGATGGATGGAGCAGGGGCAATCAGTTTTCTTTCAGGGTGTAGCTCCTGGTAGGTCTACCTCACTCCAGTGGATTACCTCATAACCATGAGCAAACGGACAGCACAAATTGGACTCTGGGAATTATATTTAAAAAAGAAAAAGAAAAGAGGAGGAGAGGGGAGGGGAGGGGAGGGGAGAAGAAGAGAAGAGAACACGAAATTGAGAGAGGATGGGCAGGAAAAGGGTGGACTTGGGAGGATTTGGGGAGGACTAGGAGGCAAATATGATCAAAACACACTGCATAAAATCCTCAAATAATAAAAATATTATACAGTGTTTTTAAATTGATGATATGAAGAATCTTCACAAGAGAAACTAGCAATATGCCCAGAGGGTGAAGCTGCTTGCGGTCAAGCTTGATGATCCGAGTTGAATTCCCAGGGTCCACATGATGGAAAGAACCTGGCTACCAGTTACCCTCTAATCTCCATATGTGTGTTATCACACACACACACACACACACACACACACACACACACACACACACAGTTTACATCCAAAAGAATCTTCACTAGAAATATGTTTATAGGATTCAGCCACTATTTACCAGTGTTTACACATTTAAGGATTTCTTAGAAGAAGAGGATTCGTTATTCCAGTCTTCCCACATGGATACTGTCAGGGGAAGGATTTAACACAGGAGCAGAGATGAAAGACAGAATCAATCTATTGCTAAGAGCCCCAGGGATCAATGCAAAACCCTACACAGGGCCACAGAGCAACCGCCGCCTCTCCGTTCTCCTGGAGGCCTACTCCACAGCGGGTCCCCTTGTAGCATCTCTCAGTAGATACTTTATCCAAACCCAGCTGGCAGGCAGAACACTTGTTATGGCTTCGCTGAGCAAGGAAAGCAGGCAGCCTTTACCTTAGATATGTGTTGGCTAGATGGAGTGTGTTGTCCCACTGGCTACTGAGGTCCGTAAGAGTCTCCTGAATCAATGGGGCCTCACAGTGTTTAGCTTCTCTCATCACCATTTGGATTTTGGCGTCTCCTTCAGACTTCAGTAAAATGATTTCCTGGAAGTACAAAGGCGCCATCACTTCATCTGGGTGACTTCCAGATATCAGATATGAAATCTTTTCATGACTTATTCCATGAGACTAACTGTAGAGTCTATTTGATAATAACACTTTCATTTTTGTAGATGTTTCAAAGATGGAGACACACCCTTCCTTCACAGGTGATTCTTTTGTTTGTTTGTTTGTTTGTTTTTTGAGACAGGGCTTCTCTGTGAAATAGTCCTGGCTGTCCTGGAATTCACTCTGTAGCCCAGGATGGTCTCTAACTCAGTGAGATCTGCCTACTTCTGCCTCCCAAGTGCTGGGATTAAAAGACGTGCGCCACCTTGGCCCGGCTACACAGTTAATTCTTAATAAATACATGATGGTTTGAACTAACTACATTCCTGCTCGCCCTTGACTTTCAAAAACCTCCACAAATTCTCCTTCCCGGCCACGTCTTAATATTGATGTGGAGGGTCAGAGGTAACAATTTAACAGTCATTGGCACATATCTGAGGAGAGACTTGTGGCTTCCCATAGGAAAATTGTCCTTCCTACCAATTCCCAGTTCTTTGTCCTTCCTTTGCTCCAATTAAATGGAGTTCTTGTCTTGGAAGCAACTACTCAGGACAGTCAGCTAAAACGGTGTCTGGAGACGTATTCCAGTGCTCAGTCTCACCAAACCCTTGTACCTCATTACTCCCTGTGGCTTCTTCCTGCCAGGATGCCCCCACCGAGGGGACCCCAACACACACCTGCACTGTTCTCCCAGCAGGTTTTAACGAGTCATGTTTAGTGACTCTCCTCTTGGATGGAGAGGCAGGTCCAGAGAAACCTCATTCTCCTGTACCCACTGTGCAGCCTGTGAGGCTTTACGAGCCCAGTTACCGACTCCCACGATTCCTCTCCAGCCCTGCACTCCACATTGCCGAGTCTTCGGCTCTCTGGACATGGATGTCTTTGTATCCTCCCATCCTCCCCTCTTGCTGTGCTCTGACTAGTGCCTTTTTTCTACCTGCTACAAGGGATGATGAATAATTGACCATTGCCCTCCTGAAGAGAATGCCATATTTTCCTCTTTCATATGCATTAAATTAATTTTAGATCCATAACCACCCGTCATTTTTTAAGCTCAGCGGCTTGAATTGCTTCAGCCATCCCCCCGTGATCTTAGTTTCTATTAAGAAAGGAATTGTTGCAGTTTGCCTCCGAAGCTTGCAAAATGAGAGTTCACTCTGACCTCTCAAATTTGGTTTCCACGGTTATACCTTTATTTTTTGGATTCTTTCTTCAAGTGGCATTTTGCCTTCTGATGAATTTAGAGCCATAAGGGACTCTTTAATCTCTTTTATCCAGTGAGCTACATCGTGTACGAGATCATTAAAGCTCTGGTCTTCAGCGGGTGCCGACTTATCCTCTTCCTCAATTTCGTGTAATTGTCTCAATAAAGTCTGGTATCTATCAATCAGTTGTGTTGATTCTTTGATTGTCTCTTCTCCTCCTGTAAGCCCATGCTCCTTCAGAGAGTCGTTCATCCGGGCCACACTCTCAAACTGCTCCCTGTAATTTCCAAATACCATTGTCAGTTTAGTGGAGCCTAGTGGAAAAAGCATGTTACCAAATAATACATTTCAATCGAGATCGCCATACCTCTTCCTAGTTAGCGCTTGGTAAAACAGATCTGTCTTCTCTCCCGACGGCTCCATTTCCTTCCACTTCTCTTCTTGATTAGTCAACCACTTACTTAGGCTTCTGCAATCATCGTCCAATCTGCAAGATCAATTCACAGATTGGGACATAAGGAAAGATGACCGCATCAAAGACAGGACGGCAATACACCAACTAGATTTTTACTGCTTTTCTTTCAAACCTTAACTACATACATATCCAAACTTGAATAATTATTGCCTAGATTGCAGTAGAATTCATAGGGGAAAAGAACCAAACAAATGCAGGAAATCGACAGAAACAATGAGTGGACTCTGCTCAGGACCATTGCCATCTTAGATAACTCAAAGATTGCCGTCAAGTTTTCTATTCCCAGCACAGAACCTGCATTTAGAAGTACAGCTCAAAGGTAGAATGCTTGCTGTGAGGTCTGGGATTTTATACCAGTGGGGAGAGGGGTAGGGAGGCTGGAGAGAGCTCTCAGCAGGTAAGAGCACTTGTTGCTCTTTGAGAGGAGCTGGGTTCAATTCCCAACACCCACATGGCAGCTCACAACCATCCATAACTCCAGTTCCCAGGGATCTGACATCCTCTTCTGGTCTCCATGAATCCCTGGCACATACAGGCACATACATGGTGCACAAGCATACATGTAGGCAAACACTCAAACACATAAGTATTTTTAAATGTATGCTTTACTTTTCTGCATGAATGAGTTCCAAACCCATGGAATCCAAATGACAACAGTTCAAAATGATTTGACAACCAACTGTGTTTGCATTGGAATGTACGTGCAGCCTTCTTTCTTTCTTGTCCACATTCCTTAAACACGTAGTATAACAACAATTTATATAGAATGTACACTGCATCAGTTATTTTAAGTAATCTGCAGATGATTTAAATCAAGTATATGGGAGAATATGCATTGAGTACTGCACGTACCACATAATTTACAAAAAGGGCTTGAGCACCCACGGGGATCCTGAGAACCAGTTCCCGAGAGATAGTGAGGAACCTACTTCACTTGGGATATTTGTATGCACTGAATGTCCTGGCCTATGCTGTCCATGGCGAGCTAGAAGTCATTACTAGAGTATCTTTAGGTGACGTTGTTTATTTCCTACCTCAGGAGCTGCTTCAGGGAGTCCGTCAGCTCCCTGGCTCGGGCCTGGCATGCCGACTCCAAGTTTTCTAACTCCAGTTCTTGACTGCCAAGCCAGCTATTAAGCTCTTTCACACGAGTTTTGGGTAGGAGCATCTTCACGTGCTGTAGGACAGTCTCCACCTGCTGGATCTGACTAGTTCCTCCTCCTAGCGTCAAGAAATCCTTAAGGAACACAAGAAATCGACTATGTCTACAATGAAGTCAAAATGCGTCTGCCACCCCTGGCACTTTGCAAACCTGTACCTATGCTTTCCAACTGCCCCTCCAGAAGGGCTAGGAAGACGTGGTTGACTCCAATGAAAGATCATTTTTCGATAGCTCGTGTGTGTGTGTGTGTGTGTGTATGCATGTGAATCTCTGCATTGGCATCTGTCTTTCGGGGGCCTACATCTAGCATAAATAATGCAGTACCACTATGATGTTCACACAGGAACAAGATGGAGAAAGCTAACGTCTCCTATCTTGGTGATGCTTCACGTCTCATAAATATTTTCTTCCGCCTTCCATCTGCTGATCCATATGTGAAATTGAACAGATTATTCTCCCTTCACCTTTGCCCAGATTCACAAGTTTCAAGGTCTGACATCATTTCTGAAGCCCATGAAATGAGCAAAAATAAAGGTGAGAAGTGATGCCATGATACATTCTGAACCCGGTACTGATGACCAATTAAATATAGAGAGCTGTATGATGTATTTTAGAAAACACCTTTCTAAGTACACAGGACATCAATATAGGGAATGAGGCCCCAATCAAGCAAGGTGCTAAACAGACTGGCAGTAATCATCTGGGAGAATATTGTTATGGTATATGAAAACACACCACCATTTTTAAAGCAAGGACTTAAGCATCCATGGGTGTTGATAGCCTGGGGTTAAAGAGGTTAAAGGGAAGTTTCTGGAGCTACCAAAAAGCCTAATATTTAAACAAAGGCAGGAGGCCCAGTTATTGGAGTCAGAGAGAAAGGCAGGAGAATTGCAGAAACACAAGGGCTCAGGGTCAGCCCAGACAACATTGTGAAACTTTTCTCAAACAGCTTAGTTTGGTACGTTTGGACAGAAGTATCTTACAGAAAGTTTTTGCAGCTTTTGTTCCATGCTCAGTTTTGTTTCTGGTGGTTCAAAACACTCCTTAAGGTTCATTTGGATGTTGCTGAACCAGTCGTTAAAGTTCTTACACTGGTCTGTAGGAGAAAAGAAAAGAGTTCTGTATACTCATTCAAACAGGATGTCGTATATCTTGTTAGATGAGAGAGTAGGAACTTGTTTTCCACAGCAGCAGACAAAGCCATGATGTGTTCTGAACCCCAGTGCTGAGAACCAATTGAATATAGAAAGTGATAAGATATATTTTTGGAACCAACACCTTTCCGAGCACATGGGACATCCAAAGACACCTGCAAGGGCAGCATGCTCACAGGCATTCCCTTGACAAATGGACCACGTGACCTCACTTGATGTGGGAAGTCCTTCTGTATATGTGTTGTTTTTATTGGTTAACGAATAAAGCTGTTTTGGCCAGTGGCTTAGCAGAATAGAGCGAGGCAAGCAGATAGAAGAGGAAAGAAGGCAAAGTCAGGGAGATGACATGTAGCTGCCGGAGGAGACAGATGTGCCCCAGAACTTTGCCCAGTAAGCCACAGCCATGTGGTGATACATAGATTAATAGAAATGGGTTAATTTAAGATGTAAGAGCTAGCTAGAAATATGCTTAAGCTATTGGACAAACAGTATAGCAATTAATATAGTTTCTGTGTGATTATTCAGGTCTGGGCTGCCAGGATTTGATGGAGGAAGGTCATTGGCTAATAAAGGCACTGCCCTGGCCCATTTTATTGGTTAGAGGATAGGTGGGAGGAGTAAACAGAACAAAATGCTGGGAGGAAGAGGAAGTGAGGTCAGAGACTCCACCGCTCTGCTCTCGGGAGCAGACGCCTCAGGGAGACGCCATACTCCCAGCTCCCAGGCAGACACACGCCATGAAGCTTGACCCAGGATGGACTAGGCTAGAATCTTCCCGGTAAGACCGGTGCTCACCGATTATTAGAGATGGGTTGATCGGGATATCAGAATTAGCCAGTAAGGGCTAGGGCAGAAGGGCCAAGCAGTGCTTAAAAGAATACAGTGTCTGTGTAATTATTTTGGGGCATAAGCTAGCCGAGCGGGCAGCCGGGGTGCTGGGGACGCAGCCCCGCCACTCTTATTACTTCATATGGCGCCCACGTGGACAACTGCTTCCACATAAAGCCTGAGACAGCTTGGGAAGTAATTCTAGAACAAAATGAAAGCATTGTGCCTGGTTTCTTGGTAGCAGCAATTTCTCGGTTCTACTCTGCTTGCTAGAGGCAAGCAAGCGCCTCATCTAAGAGAGGCTTCCTGACTCAGCTTTAGCTGCAAAGCCTGCAGCTCATTAAGAGGTCCTGCCACGAAACACTTAAACGGTGTTGACGAAAAGCTGAACGCATGCGTTTCGGTTTTCAGCCGTAGCAGGAAAAAAGCTGCGCCGTTTAAAAATGCCGGCTTTCTGGGCCATCCTGCCAGGGCAAACTCTGACTGTTTGAGGCAGGAGGGCCGGCTACCGAGAGAGAGGACTTGAGTGTTGTCTGTTGTAGCTCACTTGCTGGCAGGGACCTTGAAATGCCATACAGTTGTTGCAGTAAACATAGCTACAGCCTGTATATCCGCCATGAGGCTGGAAAGCTAAGAAATGGACTGGATCTAGCTGGCAAAGCCACGCCTTTAATCCTACTGATATTGCTTGGTAAATTAAAGATTCATGTGGTCAGAAAAAGAGAGATATACAGTAAAGAGAGATTCAAAGACAGAGAAAATTTCTGAATGGTTTAAAGTGTGTTAAAAATATATGCAGACTAAAAGTTGAAGTTCTTAAAGTAAAAAACAAAAAAAAAAAGGAAGAGAATTGTTGTGTGTGGTAACACACGCCTTTAATCCCAGTGCCTAGAAGGCAGAGACAAACAGATCTCTGTGAGTTCAAGGTGTAGTAGTGTACACCTTTAATCCCGAATGCCTGGGAGGCAGAGACAGGCAGATCTCTGAGAGTTCAAAGACAGCCTGGTCTACAGAGTTACTTCAGGTCAAAGATACAGAGAACCTGCCTCAAAAAGCAAAGAGTTAAAAGTAAAAATAAACAAAATAGAGGTTAAAACACAGCTGCACAAAGATGGAAAATACACAGAGAATTTTGATACTGTATGCTATAATGCTCTCTTTGAATTGTTTGAATGCTGAGGAAGGACAAACAACTGCTAAAAGATATTTGTTTATAAATGCTGCTGAACTAATCCAACATAGATACTTTGAAAATGCCTTGATTTTGAAATTTGGATCTAAGGACATGATACTTTGGAAAGGAGTTTCTTATTTTGTTTTCACAGAGGATGAGACGCTGTTCATTTCTTCTATTCCGATTTGGTATGATGGACCACGCCCTCCTGAAGGGTTGGTATGAACGCCTTCAAAAAATTGCTTCGCTCAACTGTCAACTGAGATGAAACTAGCACACCTATGAAAGACCTAATTAACGACGCCCCCATTCAGCAGGAAGCAGTTTGGAGAGAAATAACTGCGCCCTTATTCCCAAAAAATGTTTATAAATGTTCTTTTACATTTAAAGGGGGATATGATATAGGTATGAATAATGTGCATTAGTATAGATTTTGCTAGAGATTTATGGTCAATTCTGTTATATGTATATGTATTTCTGATATTGATTAAGGTATTGTGATTGTGTAGTTCATTTAAATATGTACTGTATAATTAAGAAATATAGGTTGTTAATGGATAATCATCGATAATAGTAAAGCTTGTAGTCATGTTAGTTAGATTTTCTAGATATATACAGATATATTTTAGATAGACATTCTTCATGTCTTTCAAAGATTACAGAATAGGACATTTAATGTTTTAATAACTGAGGACTTTTCATGACAATGAGACACTCTGCTCCTGGCAGCACCAATCTACTTCAAGAGGAAGATGGGCATTGAAGAGGATCCTTATGGAGTTTGATAGCCATTTGGGCAAGAAACTGCTCTTGCCTGGACTATTGCATAAACTGGACACAGAGAACCCGCAGAGAGAGGACTACTGAACTTGCCTAAGGTGAGATGATCTTTCGGGGTTCCTGATTCATGAAAGAGTCTGCAAGACATTCTGCAGGACACAACAGATAGTGACTGAACTGACTTTGAATTTTCCTGCTTTATGGAAATGTCTGCTGGATACCATGGGCCTGAAGGCTGAAGATGGATGCCCCAACGGTACAGAGGAACTTTGGGTGACTGTCCAGGCAGCGAGATGTCTCTGTCATTTCTAGAGTTTTAAAAGTTGCTTTTTTCTTGCTTACTTAGGTAATATTATATCTTTCTGGAGTCTTTGATGGAGTTAAGAATAGTTAGTTATAGTTATAGTTTTCCTTAGTTATGATAAAGATTATTGTAACTTTTACTTGATAACTGTTTTGTTATACGTAATTTTGCTATGTTAAAGCCTTTTTTTTTTTGTTTAAACCGAAAAAGGGGAAATGATGGAGGAAGGTCATTGGCTAATAAAGGCACTGCCCTGGCCCATTTTATTGGTTAGAGGATAGGTGGGAGGAGTAAACAGAACAAAATGCTGGGAGGAAGAGGAAGTGAGGTCAGAGACTCCACCGCTCTGCTCTCGGGAGCAGACGCCTCAGGGAGACGCCATACTCCCAGCTCCCAGGCAGACACACGCCATGAAGCTTGACCCAGGATGGACTAGGCTAGAATCTTCCCGGTAAGACCGGTGCTCACCGATTATTAGAGATGGGTTGATCGGGATATCAGAATTAGCCAGTAAGGGCTAGGGCAGAAGGGCCAAGCAGTGCTTAAAAGAATACAGTGTCTGTGTAATTATTTTGGGGCATAAGCTAGCCGAGCGGGCAGCCGGGGTGCTGGGGACGCAGCCCCGCCACTCTTATTACTTCAAGGATTGAATGAGAGGCCTTGGCCAACACCCAGTGACTACAAAGTACAGATTTGAGGCTTGAAGAAATGGATATTACTTACACCAGACCCTAACAGTGTTTGCCCCAAAGGATTTACCAAAATATAACTCCTTTAAATACAGATCGTGAAAGCCATCTATTAGTCAAATTTAGATTGGCCTTTGGACCCACAGGGCCATGAGCATTTTCCTATTTCAAGATCGCCAGAAACAAAGTTTGAGACACATGACACTCACCGGTCAAGAACGTGGAAAAGTGATCTTGCAGAGCGCTCTTCTTGGTGTGGAATAAGTCGCTGACACTTGCGTACTGTCTTTTCAGTTCAGAGAGCTCTGGAGTGAGACACCCGATTTGATTCTCAAGCACTGTCATGCTGTGCTTCTGCTGGAGGATCTGCTGCTGGATCTCCTGCACACAGAACAGACCAGTCATTGCATCCTGACACCAGCTCGCTTCACCCACAGCGCATGAGCTCTTCCCCGTCTTCGTGTCTGTGTGCACATGTAAGTACGTGTGTGTACATGTATGTATGCACGTGTGTCTGTGAGTGTACATGGAAGCCAGAGGCCCACCTCGGATACCCTCTTTGGTTATTCTGTACCTCATCATTAGTGTTATTTTTATTGCAATCACTGACTAGCTAGGTTAGCTGGCCAGTATTGCCATATTCTTGCTCCCCCTGCTGGCTTAAAACAACAACAACAAAACCCTGGATGCTAGGGATTTGAACTTGGGTCCCTCTGCTCACACAGCAAGGGCTTTGACAACGGAGCCATCTCCCAGGCTTCAGAGGTTTTCATTATTTTTTAAGTCCAAACAATTTTCAATTGAGTGACTTTGTTTCTATTCCATAGTTGATTTATAGTACAAGGCAATTTCCTTTTTTACACTCACGTACTCATTTGACATGTATGTGTCACACACATGTGAAATGTCATGTGACTTCAGGGGACTGAAGTCAGATCATCAGGCTTGGGGTAACTGCTGAGCTTTCTCACTGGCCCACAATACAGGTTTTTTTCCTTCCTTCCTTCCTTCCTTCCTCCCTCCCTCCCTCCCTCCCTCCCTCCCTTCCCCTCCCTCCCTCCCTCCCTCCCTAGAAACTGACTCCCTATTTTCACTAACTACAGAAGGCCAAAAATCACTAAAAGTGTTAGCGGCGCGGGAAGAAACCTCAGTGGTAGGGGCGCTTGCATAACATGAACTAGGTTCACTCACCAGTATCATGTATTTTAAAGGAATAAAAAAGAGTGTAACACAGGAGAGGGGCGGCTGAGTGGTACCTCCAGCTTTGTGAAGATCTCCAGGCTGTCGGAGGGAGACAAGGCGTTCAGGAGGGACTCGGTCATCCCCATCTGGGTCTTGGCTTGGTCCAGATCCTCCCTCAGCTCAGCTGTGTTCCCACTGGGCACGTAGCTGTTGGAGTCTCCTGTGATGAACCTTTTTACATCTCTCATCTTGCTCAGGACGGAGGACTCCATGACCTGAAATCACAAAACGCACGACACCTGCTGTAAGAAGCCCTGTCTCAGCGGCCCTCAGGCAACTGCTTACTGCAGAGCAAGCCAACCGTTTTTCATCCCAGAGTGAAATATGTTCTTATCATTTGCTAAAACTGCCTGTAAAAAAAGAAAACAAGAACTAAGACCGGTGTGGTAGTACATGCTTTTAATCCCAACAGGAGGGAGGCAGAGGGAGGCGGGTCTCTGAGTTCGAGGCCAGCCTGGTCTCCAGAGTTGAGTTCTAGGTCAGCCAGGGATACACAAAGAAACCCTGTCTTAAAAAAAAAAAAATAGCCAGGCAGTGGTGGTGCATCTCTTTAATTCCAGCACTCGGGGAGGCAGAGGCAGATAGATAAATCTCTGTGAGTTCGAGGCCAGCCTGGTCTATAGAGTGAGTTCCAGGACATCCAGAGAAATCCTGTCTCGAAAAACAAAACTAGAACAAAAAGAGAAAAAGAAGAAAATAGAAATAGACATTTTCTAAGACAATAATTGGAATCTTTCTCCCCAAATACATTGTATCTAGCATGCAAACTGAATTCTTACAGCATGAAAGAAAACATATTTTGAAACACGTAAATATGATTAAAATGTATAGAGAACATTAAATAGTCTTGTCTTGTTTAGAAACAGGATCTTACTACAGAGTCCACACTAGCCTCAAACTCATGATCCTCCGGCCGCAGCCTCCCAAGTGCTGGGGTTAAAAGCATATCCCACATCACTGGCCAGCACTGATGATGTGTCCAGCAGGTGGTGAGCACCTCGTACACAGACTGAAGAGTAAGCAACTTGGCCAGGATCACAAAACCAGTAAGTTGCACAGACAAGAAGCCACCCGCAAAGCCTGTCCAGAAGGTCATGTGTAAACACTATGACCCTTCATCCAAATGATACTGAGATTAAATATCTTCACACAACGGAAAAATCGCACCCGAGGCAATTTCTGTCTCTACCTAGCAGTTAATGAATGACACGGGAATCGTTCAAGACATATTCTCCTCCCTGCACACACATAGGAAAACCACTGTCAGTTTACATGGAAACACAGCCACCATTTCTCCGCACACAGCAGGCCAGTAAGAGAGCAAAAGGGGAGAAGAAGGCAAGAGCGCAATATTCTCACGCTGGATGCGGACCACGCAACCGCTTACGCTGATTCTAAATTTTAATTGCACGTACATAGGTAATCATTCTAATTTCATTTTCTACTTAAATTTGGGATGCGTGTATTATGGATGCTGTCTTGGGAGGCACGGAGAATCTTCCATTGAGACTGGCATTGAAATTCCCATACCTGGAGCTCAAGTGGCTTCTCGTTACTTTGAAGCAGCAACTGTATGTCAGCCAATCTTCTGGAAAATTCTGAAGCTTGCTCCTCATGGACTTTTAACTCTTCCTAAAACAGAAGTTTTTAAAGAGGAATCCTTTTATTTCATCTTACTTTCAGGCACCTGTGATTATTAGTCGATGTACAGAAACTTGAAGATACTCTTCTTCTAATCTTTCGTTTTTTAATGTTCCGGGGAGTAACAAATCCAAGTGCCTTAGGGATGAGGCAAATGACAACCAAGGGAAGCATTCTCCTTTCAAGAAAACAGGAAGAATGAGACTTGTGCCATGAGGCTGTGTGTAGGTTGAAAAACATGGCCAATGTCTTGGCTACGCATGTACAAATTCTGAATGAGCATGCGCCCACTTGGAACCTGGCCCATCGGCTAGCTGTTTTTAATTTTGACTTCACATTTTCAAATAACCTATAAGTTAAGACGTATCTCAGCCGGGCGGTGAGCCGGGCCTTTAATCCCAACACTCGGAGGCAGAGGCAGGTGGATCTCTATGAGTTCAAGGCCAGCCTGGTCTACAAGATCTAGTTCCAGGGCAGGCCCCAAAGCCACAGAGAAACCCTGTCTTGAAAAAAAAAAATTAAAAAAAAAAAGACACATCTCTAAGACCCTTAGAGATGACTCACTTTATACTGTCCTAAGGACCCAAGAAACGAGAAATCAATGTCACATTTTTAAAGCCTTTTCCCAACATGTAAAAATATACGTAAATTAAAAATTGAATAAAATACAAGAATTTGGGAGACAATGAGATTTGAAGCATTAGATACATACACACATATTTTTAGACTCTGTTGAATCACATTTAATGCCAGCATTTAGATATTTTCTGACCTAGTAAAGCACTGTGCAAATTAATGACATTAAACAAATAAGTAACCAGAAGAATTCCTAACTGCGGTGTGAGAAGCTGAACTCAGAGCCTCAAGCATACTAGGTACACACTCTACCTCTGAGCTAGCCCAGAGACAGAAACAGTTCTTCCCACAGCTAAAAGAGGCAGCTCAGATCCTTTCCCAATGCCAACTTGAGAGCAATGTTTAAAACCCAGCTCTCTTCTTGTTGCAATTCTTCCTCATTGAGGGTCATTGTGCCCACAAGAGCCTTTGGGTGTCTGTGAATCTGCAAGCATCTGCCTGGACTTCACAGGGCAATCGTCAGAGTTCAGAGCCCTCTCGGGGGATAGTGAAAGAAATATGTTATCTCATCGGAACTTTTCAACTCTGCTGCAACAAAGCAAACGAGGGCGCGTGGGCAAGGCACCTGCCTTAGCCAGGTTGAGTTACCTCCAGCCTTTCTCTGTCCTCCTCGGTCAGCTGATGTGACTCCAACTTCCCAAGGATCTTCTCAGCCCACTCATCGATGCTGTTTTTTAAGTTGAAAAGTTTGTCCCACAAGGCCAGCGCTCGCCCAAGATTCTCACCGTATTCCTCTGTCTTCTCATTGACCTGCAGCCAGTTGTAGAAATAATGGACACAGTGTGGAGAACATGGCTCCAGTCACTTGTTTTGAAATAAAATCAAGTCTACCCTTAGTGGCCAATTTGCTTGAGTCATGCTTTCATATCTTATGTTGCCTGCCCTCTCTCTTGTGTGCGCGCACACACACATACATACACACACACACAAAGACACACACACACACATCTGGAAGGCTTTAGTTCCATTTGTAATGTCTAACTCTGAGATGAAATTAATTCCTAAGTTACAAATAACATATTACTCTTTTTTTTTACAAAGAATGCCAGCTTAACTTTTCAGTATCACAAGAATACTAAAGATGCTCTCCCCTAATATCAATTTGCAGTGAAACAGAATTTTTAGTCAATGAACTTATCACATACATCCAGCCATCTGTCCACAATAGCATTAGCCTCTTTCTCAAACGGGGGCTCTTCAAAGGTTTTCATTTTATTTAGATGGTATTGTAGATTTTTACAAATCTGATTTATCTTGTCTACAACTTCTAAATGTTCATTGAATTCTTCTTTGACAGTTTCAATCTGTTAAAAAAAACAGCAAAAATATATTTTCGACATATTCAAAACATACATACAAAGAGAAGCGAGTGGAATGACAATTCTATTTTTTTTTTATTATTCAACCTAAATAATGACCATAAAGGCCAACAAGATGGATTAGTAAAGAAAGGTCCTTGCTGCCAAGCCTCACAGTCTTCTGTGATGAAAGGACAAATGACCCTCCCTCCTCCACAGGTTATCCTCCACACCTGTGTTCTCCAACATCCATGTGCGCCCATTCTCTACCTAGATAAATATAAAATGAACAAAACAGATCACAGCACAAGTGGAAATGTTCTGCTTGCCCAATGGACACTTGTTGGAATTACTTTTCCCTTTAAAGATTTACTTAGGCTGGAGAGCAGGCTCAGCAGATAACAGCTGCTCTTTTGGAGGACCCTGGTTAGAGTCTCCGGACACACATACTGGCTCACAACTGCCTATAACATCGGCTCCAAGCGATCTAACAGCCTCTTCTAGCATCTACAGTAGTGGTTCACAACCATCCTGATGCTGCGACCCTTTAACACAGTTCCTCATGTTGTGATAACCCCCAACCATAAAATTATTTCCATTGTTACTCCATAACTGCGACTTTGCTTCTATTATGAATAGTAATGTAGAAATCTGTGTTTTCGGATGGTCTTGGGCGACCCTGGTGAAAGGGTCATAAGTCACCAGGGGTCGTGACCCACAGGTTGAGAACCACTGCTCTGCAAACAGTGGGTATAAAAGGGGTACACAAACATACATGGAGGCAAAACACCCTCACCGTAAAACTAATTAATTAAAAATCATTTAAAAATAAATAGGAAATTTAATAAAACCACTTTCTAATAATCAAATGCATCAAGAAGACTACACATCATGCTGGTGACAGCTTGACAGCCTCGTGGCTTAAAGCTCAAGAGCCACTGGGAGAGGCATCATCGCGATATACGGTCATAGAGCAAACAGTATGGTGTATTCCTTCCTACCATGTAAATTCATAGAAAATAATGACATCTAGTGTCCAAAAGATGCTGTTCTCCTCAGCAATACAGAGCGGGGATGAGTGAAGCCAGCAACACAGACGGGCGACTGGGGGATTTGGCTGGCTCAGCTTTACAGAAAATGAACAAGGGAATTGGAATGCCCTCTTTGACTGTTAGCAACAGAGAGATCTCCTACAATCTTCATGCCTGCATGGGGCTCACTGGGACAGGAGCGCTTTGCAGTCCTACAGAGGAGCAGCGGGTGATACTGGGCTCTGGGGAGCCACAGGCCCAGCAGTAAAGCCCAAACACAAGTGACCTGCTACCAACTTGGAAAAGGATTTATTTCTAGCTCTGATGATACTCTGGATAAATTAAGATACCTAGTGAAACAGTCACTACTAAATTCTTTTTTTAAAAGATTTATTTATTTGTATACAATGTTCTGCCTGCAGGCCAGAAGGTACCAGATCTCATTACAGATGGTTGTGAGCCATCATGTGGTTGCTGGGAATTGAACTCAGGACCTCTGGAAAAACTGCTAGTGCTTTAAACCTCCGAACCATTTCTCCAGCCTCCTAGATTCTTTTAGAGCAAGTTTCAAAGGGGATTCATCACACCCTCTTTCCTGTCGGGCTCATCAGCCAAGTCGCCATGCAGGATGGCTCTTTGGCAGGATGGACTTACCTCTGCAACCTTCTTCTTCAGGTTGTCCCTGCCCATGTAGGAAGCCTGCTGGGAGATGATGGCCTCTTCTTTTTGAATCAATGCTGTCAAGTTGTTTTTAAAATTCTGATACTGTTTTAACAGCTCCAGAACACTTCCACACTGTTCAAGGCTATGCAGGAAACAAGGAGGGAGAAGAGCCTGAAAATAACACTGTGTGTGCTGTAGAAACAACTCACGAGTCACACAGGACTCTCTCTCCACATGGCTTGGCCATATTACCAATAATGGTGATATAGCAAACAGACTGTATAAATAATCACCAGATTCGTACCTTTACTAATTATGTTAACATGTTAACACATGTAAGCTTTGGGAGATATACAGGATTACATGTCAACATACATAAGCTCTGGGGAGACATACAGGATTACATGTTAACACATCTAAGCTCTAGGAACTATACAGGATTATATGTCAACACATGTAAACTCTGGGAAATATACAGGATTACATGTCAACACATGTAAGCTCTGGGGAGACATACAGGATTACATGTTAACACATGTAAACTCTGGGAAATATACAGGATTGCATGTTAACACATCTAAGCTCTAGGAACTATACAGGATTGCATGTTAACACATGTAAACTCTGGGAAATATACAGGATTACATGTTAACAAATGTAAGCTCTGGGGAGCACATCTTAACAGGACCAGCTTTCCATCTCATCAACCATAAGACCCAGTGGAAAGACACCCCTTCCCTAACATGATCAGAGACTAATTTAAATCAGATTATTGCACAACCCACCTATGGGACAATCTATTCCACTCATTCTTAGGCTCAACCTTTTTAGAAAGTAAAATAGTTCAGAGAATATGGTAGCTAACTTGGTTTCTGGTATAACTAGGTACTACTGAGTTATAGAACTTTAAAGGAAGCCCTGATCTATGAAATTAAACTAGATCATACGCCACAGACAGGTTTGATCATGGCTTCCTTACACACAGGTTCCATCTGCATAAAGGGCATGCCGAAGGGAGGGTGGGGAAAGGACCATAAAAGTCCAGAGATTTAAGGGAAGGTGCATGGTGGCTCAGGGGCTTCCTGCAGCAAACAGGTCATATGCTTCCTGAAGGACACAGGGAGGGAAGTGGCCCCAGCCATAGAGGTGGGCACTGCCAGGATGTGCCAGCACTGCATGTGACAGATGGTGGCCTGAGAGCTCCAGCAGGAAGCCCTGTGTTTGCTTCTCTACGTCCAGGGGATACGGTTCCAAAACAAACACTTCAGAATGTTAACTACACAGACACATTTTCACACTCAGAAGCCATGCGTCTCTTACCACTCAGTGAGAGAGGCTTTTGTACTCTCCCACAAGGCTGCTGTATCTTGACACTGTTGAATCACCATTTTCTCTTGGCCGTCTTTGAATTTCGGAAGGGAATTAGCCATTTGTTGTATGTGCATCTTCTCTTCTTCAAATCCATCTAGGTCCTTATCCAGCCTGAGTAATGATTTTTTCCTTGAGTATGGAATTAAAAAAAAAATGTATGAGCCAACTGTTGATGTAGTTGATTCAACAAAAAACATGAGAAATGTCAGGATTGTGCTTTCATTGTCCTCATGAGATTAATGATAAAATTAAAAATTCCTACTACAAAGGAATTCCTGAATAATAAGTACAGGAATTTATTCCTTCATTACAGAGATCAGACGGTTTCTTGTATTACCAGCATACTATTTGGCATTTTAATTAAATATAATAAAGATGCAAAGCCATAAGCAACAACATTTTCCCCTTGGTGAACATATGTATGTATGTGCATATGAGAGAAAATACACAGAGCATGCGTGTGGAGAACACAGGATAGGAACAGATAGGTAGTTGAACTGAGCAAGGCCTCTAAGAAAGGGTGGGTACCAAGGAGGAAGGAGACAACGGGCCATCACACACTTCCTCTACAAAAAGCTCTCCCGATTCAAAAAGGAGCCACTTAACTAAGGGTTTATCCTGAAAACCAAGCCTGGAGAAAGAACGCCATGGCGTGAATGTAAACTGCAGCTGCCCAGCCCTACCTTCTCACCTCCAGCTCGCCCTGGAACCCACTTCTCAGGGGCTCTCCATCCTTACTCATCCACCTAAACCGCAATTGAGATTCTTAGCGCTCTGACACTGAGAAATGCCAGCTCCGTCTAGGTCTTCCTCCTCCTCCTCCACTAGCCAGCAGCGTCTCACACAGATGGTCACTTTTTCCTGGGCAAGACTCCCAAGCCCCTCTTGATCTCCCTGAACCCCCAACCTTCAGCTAGCTCTTCCTTATTCCTGTGATCTCTTAGAGTACCCTTGCAGGTACAACTTGGACCTCCTCTGGGGCATCTAAACTCAGTTACTTGGCAAGTTTCAGTCAACCTCATGACTTTAAGCAGCACCTGACGACTCAGAGGTGCATCTCCAGCTCAGACCTTTCTCCTGATGGCATTTATCTTTAAGTCATGTTGAGATGGCTACCAGACGGTCAAATGGGCACGTCAAACCTGTTGTTTCTAAAAAGGAGCACACATGATCTGTCATTCAGCAGCTGGGAAATGTCAGTCTTTCTCATGTATTAATGGTGAGTCCATTCTTACAGCTTCTCAGGTCAAACCCTGAGAACCACACCGCACCCAAACATTTTTTACCTCACTCCTGGCCCATGTACCATCATCCTCCTTCACCTGGGGAGCGGCTCCTAGGCTCCTGTAGTTTATGTTTGGCATATCAGCTATAGAAAACCAGTGGTGGTTTGAACCACATCATTGCCTGCTGCTTAGAACCCTCTAATGACATCCAGGTCACTCAAAGAGGAAGCCAAAGCCAGAACGCAGTCCCATCCTGCCCTTGACATCCCATCTCCCTTCCCTTCCCCTCAGGGCTATACTGTCTCACTTCCTTGCCTCTCCACATTCACACCTAGGTTTGTACAACGGATGCCTCAGTCTAGAAGGCTCTTCCCCAGGGAGTTACAAGTCTTGCTCTCGTACTTTTTGATTTTGGTTTTGTTTTCTGAGACAGGGTTTCTCTGTGTTACAGTCCTAGCTGTCCTAGAACTTGCTCTTGTAGACCAGGCTGGTCTCGAACTCACAGAGATCCGCCTGCCTCTGCCTCCCGAGTGCTGGGATTAAAGGTGTGCCACCACCGCCGCCACCGCCGCCACCCAGTCTGCTCTTGTACCTTATTTGATGCACCTGTGTTCCCAGAGATATCAGCCACCTTGCCATCGCCACCTCTTCCTCCTTCCCTACTCAGCTCTGTCACGTCTGGTTTAGTCCTCACCAGTCATACTACACATCCTACCACACCTAGGGACTAACAAACTCTAGAAGAGTCGAGAACTTTCAGCCTCTTTTGTTAAGTGCAAAACTCCCAATATCCTAAACTGTCAGGCATGGGACATCTATTATTATACTCATGGCTACACGAATATGCAACTGTCATTTATATACATATAGCTCTCAATTCATATACTAATATCCATTACTTTTGGTGAACATAGAATTAAAATTCATTGAAGTAATAACTACACAAATGATTAGTTCAATACCTCACTACACACTGGGGCACTCTCAGGATAAAAGTCTTATTGAGCCGGAGGGGGAATCTTGGAGGGAAGGGCACATTAAATAATAACTACTAAGGAACTTGGTGAGCTAAAAACTCCTAAGAGACTACCAAGTCAGAGAAGCTAAGATGATAGAGCGGGAATGGTTTGGAATATTTATTAAGAAGACGAAGATTCCACAAGAGCAACTCCTGCTAATACCTCAGTGTTCGCGAGCGATCTGGCAGCCATATTCTGAATACTGAAATTAAAATGGCTTGTCTATTGCCAACCTCCTTCAGTTCCCACAATGCCCCTTTAAACTCAGCACGACTCTGAGTGGGCAGGGCAGGAGACCACCCCAGAACTGAGGTGTACAGGGACATGCGACGGACGGCATGTGGCCTTCAATCACGGATCCTGTCATTTTGTGATGGCTGACACTGTCCACTCGAAAGGAGCAAGAATTCCCTCACACCTGTGCTGGACGATCTAGATTAGAGTAACTGAGTTGTGAAGACCCACACTAATTGTGGGCAGTATCCTTCCCTGAACTGGGGTTACTGTACGGAATCAAAAGCAGAAAGTGACCCGAACACTAACATCTGTGGCTCTCTGCTCCCTGATCACGGCTGGCAGCTGCCTTGAGCAGCCACGGCCAGTATTTCCCACTATGACCTCCTTCCAAACTGGGAGCCAATAATGCTTTCTCTGTGGGGCCCCTTTGGTCAGTATTTTATCCTAAGAAGAGGGAAACAGAACTGAGAGGAGCAGCTGAGTCATGTATGAACTACGTGGAACATGCTAGGCTTTCACCCTTAAGGGAATGCCACAATACACAGAGAAGAATGAAGAACCAAGAACTTCGGTCCTTCACCAGTGTCTCACTCCACACCTCCCACGTCCAAGAAAAGACATACTGCAGAGGGGGAAAAAATGAGGAAATTTACCAACCAAAAGTAAATCCTCGTGAAAAGTCTGTTGAAAGTGATGCAGAACTGACTAACCAGAGTGATGAGATAGGAACAGAAAGATCCAGAAGTATTTGGAAACACAGCAAGCGCCACTGTGGATGTCACCGTTCTTACCGATGTTTCACAGCTGGCGCGGTGGGATCCTTAAGACCGATTTTACTGATCTGATTCTGGATGTCTTGAATATTTTTAAAGAGCTCATAATTTCTGGAACTACAAGCCTCCAATAAGGTCTTGTCCTTGGTGAGCCCCTCCTGTTTACTCTGGCCCTGCGAGTCTGAGACCTTTACTGACAAAGCACCAAGAAGCTCCTCACAGGTGGTAAACTCCCCTCCCTCGGCATCTTTGATGTTTATGCCAAGCATCCTCAAGCGTTCATCCAAAGGCCTGGCCTTCTCTTTCAGCAGGAGGATGTCTTCCTCCACAGTTCCCACTGCCAGAGTACCCTCTGCTGCATTCGCGGCAGGAGGGTCTTCAGGGAGCTTCGCTGCTCTCAGAGAAGCTAAAAAATCCTCCAGAGCCTTCAGGGCATCTTCACTCATCTCTACTTTCTGGTTCATGGTCTCCAGCTGGAGTCTGCATTTCGGCACAATGTCCTGAATTGCACGCTGATCGAGAGTGTGTAAATCCATTGGGACTGAGTCACGTGGCTCCTCTAAGTTGGCACACAGTCCGATCTGCTTCGCTATGGAATCTCGGATATCCTAAGGTTAAAAAGTAAAACAAAACAAAAACAGTGAAAAGAGAAAGAGCAGCCCTAGATCGAATCTCATGCACCATGCTCATTCCTGTGTGTGTGCACTCACTTACACGTACACTTTCTCTCACGTGCGCGCGCACACACACACACACGCATGCACATGTGCACACATACACACACACAAACACACAGGGCAAACACTAAGAGAGAACTAAGTGCTGACTAAATTTGATCTACAAAAATGTGTCTGAATTTAACCAAAACTGAATATTTTAGAATCAGGGAATATTTCAGTGGTGGATGAGCTGATGCCAACTGTTTCTTATTTTAGCACCTTCCTCATGCCTGAATTCCCTAAAGAAAACAAGTACATAGACACACACACTGTTTCAAAGAAATTACTAACAGGCCAACAGTGAAGTGACCTGTCTGTGACCGGAGAAGTATTTAAAATGGGATCAGGGTTGAGTAAATTGAAGAATATGCCAACTTCAATCTGTGAGCCAGCTGCAGTGTTTAGAAATTTAGGCACTAAAGACATTCCTAAGAAAGGCTTTATCTTGAAATGAAAGAAAATATCCCTTTACTTATTCCCTGGTACCTACTTTAAACTTCAAGGAACAGAACAAATGAGAAATGAATAGCAAGTTTAAATTATTAATGTATTTATATTATGGTTTAAACTCTAAATCTCACTATGGTTTAAAAAAGGTTAAAGATCTTTGAACATCTATAAGCGTCTGAAGAATTGAAGATTGTGTAAGTAATGAA